ATTTTTTTTTGACAGGCAGAGTGGACAGTGAGAGAGAGAGAGAGAGAAAGGTCTTCCTTTTTCCGTTGGTTCACCCTCCAATGGCTGCTGCGGCCAGTGCACTGAACTGATCCGAAGCCAGGAGCCAGGTGCTTCCTCCTGGTCTCCCATGCAAGTGCAGGGTCCAAGCACTTGGGCCATCCTCCACTGCCTTCCAGGGCCATAGCAGAGAGCTGGACTGGAAGAGGAGCAACCAGGACAGAATCCGGTGCCCTGACCAGGATTAGAACCCGGGGTGCTGGCACCGCAGGCGGAGGATTAGCCTATTGAGCCGCAGCACCAGCCCAGGACCATCAAATTTTATCAATGTGTGGTGCTCCTTTGTTTACACTTGCTCAGGTACAACAGACACACATACATAGACACACACATACATAGACACACACACAAACACATGCACACATACACACAGGTTTCTGTTTCCCTCTGCAGCCCCAGACATACATTCTTGTATACACTTCACCTTTGAAGTCAGCGGCAGAATTTTATTATATACGTGCAAACGAAGCTCCCCCTCCCCATTTCTCTGAATTCTGAAGACAAATGACACGAGGGGACCCGGGATGGTGGCCATGTCATCGGGGCAACCCTAGTTCCCAGGCTTGCCTGCATTCTCTTCCCTTCCTCTCCCTCATCCTCCCGCCTCCTTGCTGTCCCCGGTCCTCCCTCCTCTCCCTTGTCCTAGGGCCTCAGGAGCTCTCCTCTGGCCGTGGGCTGGGGCTGGTGCTCTGGGCAGAGGCTGTCCCTCCACAGGCGATAGGTGATGGCAGCGGTCACGGTGAGCCAGGCCAGGTAGGGCAGCAGGAGCAGGGCGGCCAGCTTGTTGATGGGGTGCCAGATCAGCGCTGTGCTCACCACCAGCCCGTAGAGCAGGAGCAGGTGCAGCAGGGCCTGAGCAGAGGGGCGGGTGGGGGAGGGGCATGCTGGCCTTTGACCTTTCTGGAGCATCCTGGCCCAACCAGCCCGGGGCTCTCCCACCTGTTGCCTGTCTGCACCTACTGATCTGCTGCATTACCTGCTTCTGGGGCCTGATGGTTTTACCTTTGCCTTCAGGCATCCGGTGCTTACCAGACCAGGGCTGTGGGCTTCAAAAAAGAGAACCAGGACAGCCCAGCTGATGGCCAGCTGCGTGGCATAGAGGCCGAGAGGCAGGGCCAGGGGCCACCCGAAGCCCCCTCCCAGGTCCTTCCACACCAGATAGGAGGCGTAGCTGTGGAGAGACGGTCACAGAAGCACTCAGCGGGGGTCGGGGGGAGGATTCCGTGGTACCTGGAGGAGCCGTGTGGCCACAGGGACCCTGGGCTCCAGGAGGGAACCCTTGAGGGCTGGACTGGGCAAGTGGGTCTGGGCAGCATCGGAGGAGAGGGGAGGGGGTGGGAGGTCCTGGGCTTGTGGGGTGAGGGAAGGCAGCTTGGAGAGGGGCTGGCTGCCATGGTGGCAGGCGCAGGGCGTTCCCGTCTGGGGAAATCTACTGCAGAAAGCAAGCTGGGTGCCAGCCCTTTGGTGGCTGCTGTCTGGCAGGAGCTCAGATACAGGGCATCTGTTCGCGCCCTGTGTGAGAGGCGGGCACTCACCCCATGACGGAGAAGATGGTGGTCCACACGAGCAACATGACTTTGTAGGGCGGGCACCAGGCCAGTTTCCGTGGGCCCTCACACCACCCTGACATCTGGTGGCTGGTGACCAGCCAGACCAGAATGAGCCCCAGGTGGGGGAGCACCACGAAGACGGCCCCTTGAGGCCGCATTCACCGGGGGAGGTGGCTCTGGGAGGGCAGAGAACAGGTGTGTGGTGAGCCTTGCGTTTCATCCTCCCCACCGTGTCTCTGCGTCTGTCTCCACCTCCCAACCCAAAGCTCTTCCCCGACCAGAGACCCCAACAGGTCTCCTCCCAGAGGCCCTTCCACCGTCCTTGGGCGCAGCGCCAGTCCTGCTGCTCGGAGCCATCGCCAGCCCTGCCCCACTGCTTGGCCTATTTTCCGGCTTCCAGGGACTCATTTTCTCCACGGCTCTCATGGGGCTCTTGGAAGATAGTGTCTGGTGTTGGTAACTGCTTCCGGGTGGAAGGCTTCCCTCCCTCAGTGTGTGTCTGAGTCCTGGAGGTCAGGGCCAGGTGTGACCGTCTTTCTAACCTTCCTTAGCAGGTGCATAAGGACGGCGACCGTGTCCCACCTAGGCTGGCAGGGTCCCGTTCTGAAGCGGGAGCCAGGCATTCCTGGGGCTCTGTTCAAGTCCCAGATGGGCCAACCCATCAGCCCCAGGCTTATCTCAGCAGGTCAGGCTGGCACTCTCACTTGGCCCACCCAGGCTGGCCTCCCGTGCAGCTTACAACTCAGTCAACTGACAGGGCACATCCCTTACTCCGCAGCCTCCACACCCACCGAGCCCTAGAGCCTCGTTGGGTGAGGGCCCGCCTACGTCTATGGCCAGAGGGTCCGCTACAGACATAACCGCTGCATTTCTTTGAAGACAACAACCTCCTGGTCTTTGATTAAATAGCACCCATGCTCATCTGCATGTTGCTTTGCATGTTATTTGCATGCGGGACGATGGTTGGACCCTCCTCCAACCAAGGCCCCACCTAATATCATTCTCATCTGCTCAGGATAGTCCAGCTCCTCCCCCAAGACTGTTGGAAACTGAAAGGAAGAAAAACATCTAATTATTTTCCAGTTCTGGAATAACGGTTTATACCATCCTTTCCTGTCAAGGGTCAGGGCTGCTTGTCCCAGATGTTCCTGGGATGGGGCTGACCCACACACCTGCCAGGACATCAGCCCATTTGTCTTTCTCTGCTTCTTGCCATCTGTTTGTCCATTGCCTGCCTTCCCATCTCTGTAGCTCTGTTGTTGCCTATTTCTCTGCCCTATGTTGGACAGTCTGGCCCTCCCCTCCCCCACCCTCTTTGCTCCTAATACCCACCATTCCCAGTACCTCCTTGTTCCTGGGCCTTTCTGTTCTGGGTAACTCCGGTTACCACAGGCAGCACACCTCCCTGGCTGGTGCCTGATGATGTGTGACGTGTGGGAGGCACAGCTGGGGTGGGTGGGGTGGGAGGAGGGAGGGTGGGGCCCCCAGCTGGTCTGCCTTTCTCAGTTGACAAGGGTGGTGACGTTGGTGGGGGAGTGTAGGTTGCTGCTTGCACAGCCCCAAAGGGCTGCTCTCAGCAAGGGTGCCCCTGGTCTGCCGGGTCCTCCTGCGTGCCCTGCCTCTGCAGGACGTCCCTTGATGCAGTGGTTTGAGGGTTTGACACTGTGAGACCTGCCCGAGCCTCCCCTGACAGCTCAGCCCCAGGCGGCCGCACTCTTGGTGCCTGTGAGTTCTGCATCACGCGAACCAGCTCTAGGTCCCTGGGGGTGGTAGGGGCCCTCAGATTTCTCCAGAGCCTTCTTGCAACTGGGGTTGTTCCCAGGTGAGGCAAACCCCAGCTTTGAACATGAGTTCATGATCCATGGACACAATTCCCGGCTGGAGTCCGCCAGTGGTGGGCGTGGCTCTTCCTGGCCAGGAACTCCACCTTCACAGGTCTTGCAAAAACTCCTGGGACTCCAGGACTCAGAGGGGAAGGCAGCCGGCAGGTGCAACAGGGCAGGGAATCCAGGTAGGAGTGGCCTGGCGCTGCCCGGCGGAGTCCTACTCCTCAGCCTCCCTAGAGGGGACAGGCGGGAGTGTCCCTTCTGTTGGCACAGTCCCACGTGACTCAGAGCTTTGGACAATGAAAATGAACCGCTCCCGGTTTTGTTCCCCACCAGTGCTCTGGGAGCCCCTCCCCCGCTGGTCAGTGAGCAAGCGAGCCTGTAGCTCCTCCCCAGGCTGGCTGCCCTCCAGCTGTGCCTTGGTTACATCCCCCCAAGCTGGGGGACCTGACTTCCCTGGGAGCTGTGTCTCTTGCCTTCTCATCTTCACCCAGTGAGGGGTGGGGCTCAAGGGGAGGGGTTAGAGCCAGGGACAAGTGAATCATTAACTGAGACGACAATAGAAGTTACTTCGTTTGTTTTCTTTTGGTTTTGATGGATACCTAAAATTCCCCGTGTATTTATGGGGCGCAATGTGAGTCTTTGATCCAGGCACACGTGATGTAATGCTCCCACTGGGGTAATTAGCATGCCCGTCACCTGGAGCATTTACCATTTCTTTGTGGTGAGAACATCCATAGTTCTTTATTCTACGCCTTGTTGTTAACTGCGGTCACCCCACCGTGCAGTAGCTCCCCGGATTACATCTCCTTATCTCACTATAACTTTGCACCCACTGACCTGTCTCCCCAACCGCCTGCCGGCTTTCTCCAGGCTCTGCTGTCTGCAGTTCCATGTCTCCTGCAGCACCGTTTGCAATGGCTAACACAGGGCATCTATCCAAGTCCATCGATGGATGAATGGATAACACAACAGAATTAAAACAGAAGGAGCCTTGATAAAGGCGGAGCGTCTGTCACTTGCAGCAACACAGGTGGACCCGTTCACTGAATAAACCAAGCTTGGAGAGGCGAATGCTGCAGGATCCCGTGCACAGGGGGGAATTCTAAAAGCCCGATCTCATAGAAGCAGCAAGTAGCAGGTGGCAGTCCCTTATTTCCTACAGGAGATGATGACTGGGAGGCCGCCTGGGGGAGTGCAGCCCGCGGCTCCTCAGCTGCAGGAGGCCAGACCACGGCATAATTCTTACCCTTTCTTGAGCTCTCACTCTGGGGCAGGCACTGTACATGCATTAGCCCCATAATGACAGCGATTATGACACAGAAGGTAGATGTTGCGACCTGTATTTGACACACAAGGCCTCTCAGGGGCTAAGTAGTGTGTTTGAGATTACATAGCCAGGGCCGGCATTGTGGCTCAGAGGGGAAAGCTACCGCCTACGACGCCTGCCTTCCATCCTGTCCCAGCTGTTCCACTTCTGATCCAGCTCTCTGCTCCCAGTCTGGGAAAAGCGGTGGAAGATGGCCCAAGTGCTTGAGCCCCTGTCAACCATGTGGGAGACCTGGATGAAGCTTGTGGCTGCAGCCTGGCTCAGCCCTGGTTGGCACATCCACTTGGAGAGTAATCCAGTGGATAGAATCTCTCTCTCTCTCTTTCTCTCTCCCTCCCTCCCACTCTGCCTTTCAAATACATAGATTTATTTATTCATTTGAAAGCCAGATTTACAGAGAGGCAGAGGCAGAGAGAAAGATAGAGAGGAGTCTTCCATCTGCTGGTGGCCACAATGGCAGGAGCTGAGCCTACCTGAAGCCAGGAGTCAGGAGCTTCTTCAAGGTCTCCCATGCAGCTACAAGGGGCCATCTTCCTCTGCTTCCCCAGGCCATAGCAGAGAGCTAGATAGGAAGTGGAGCAGCTGGGACTCGAACCAGTGCCCATATGGGATGTTGGCACTGCAGGTGGTGGCTTTACCTGCTACACCATGGCACAGACCCCCATAAATAAATCTTCTAAAAGAAAAAAGAGTCCATGGCCACCAGGTGGGTCACTTGGGCTCCAGGTGGGCAGTTCAAATACACCTTCTGCCCTCCCAGCTGGTCTATCATTCATTCATTCAGTCAGTCATTCATGTCTTCACAGGACACTGATGTGTAGCAGTCTGTCCAGGAGATGAGGAGACAGCAGCAAACAGAAGAGGCAAGTCCCCTCTGTGGGGGACTTTCTTACTGGTGGCACCACCCCTCCTGGCAGACTCTAAGGGAAATGACCCCAAAGTTTAGTTCTCCCCCAACAGGCGGCGTCCCTGCCAACTCTGAGTGCGGGTAGTGGAGAGGGCTCTGGGTGGCGAGAAGATGTGGGTGTGTCTCTGAGCCACTAGCAACATCTGAGCTCTCAGCCTCCCAGTGCCTCTGGCGAAGGTGGGCGGTCTCACAGCCACAGACAAGGAGGAGCCTGCTCACTGCACCCTCAACAATAATATAACTTCCTGCTTCAAACTGCTGGAAGAAAGGACTTGGAACGTTCTCGCTGCAAAGAAATGCTAAGCAATTGATCTGATGAATATGCTCACCACCCTAATTTGACCATGACACAACATATATAAGTATGAAAACATCTGTGTTTTTGGCACCAGTGTTGTGTCACAAGGGCTTAAGCTGCTGCTTGCGATAGCGGCATTTCTTATCTGAACGCTGGTTCTAGTCCTGGCTGCTCTGTTTCTGTTCCAGCTCCCTGCTAATGTGCCTGGGAAGGAGGTGGAGGATGGCCTGAGTATCCGGGTCCCTGCCACCCACGTGGGAGACCTGGATGGAGTTCCAGGCTCCTGCCTGCGGCCTGGCCAGCCCTGGCTGTTGTGGGCCTTTGGGGAGTGAGTCAGAGGATGGAAGAATCTCTCTGTCTCTCTGTCTTTCAAATAAACAAAATAAACCTTTTTTAAAAAAATCACGCTGTGTCCCTTAAATATGTACAATTGTTATGCGCCAATCAAAAATAAGATAAAGCTTAAGAAAAAACACCAAAGAAGTGCTTTATCAGCTTTTAGCTCAGTCCCTAGAACGGGACTTGGGGGGCAGAGCTGTCTCAGCTCCCTGGACCTGCTGCATTGGCATCGCTGGGTAGCTTCCTAGACCTGCAGAGTCCAGTCCCCACCTCAGACCTACGGATTGGAACCTACGTTTTAACAAGATGAATCCCATGCATGTTCTTTTTTTATTATTATTTTTATTTTTTTGACAGGCAGAGTGGACAGTGAGAGAGAGAGACAGAGAGAAAGGTCTTCCTTTGCCTCTGGTTCACCCTCCAATGGCTGCCGCGGCCGGCGCGCTGCGGCCGGCATATCGCGCTGATCCTAAGCCAGGAGCCAGGTGCTTTTTCCTGGTCTCCCATGGAGTGCAGGGCCCAAGGACTTGGGCCATCCCATGCACGTTCTAATTTGAGAAGCCCTGGCTAAGATTTCTGCTCCCTCTTAATAGCCTCTGGCTAGGGGCAGCCACTCACCAGCAGAGGGCGCCGTAGGGAAGGGGTTTCAAAGCGCAACACCTGGATCCAGGCTGCGTCCCTTCCTCTCTCCTCCCAGAGTTCAGCCAGAGTCTACTGACTTCTGGGATCCTCAGCGATTCTCCTGTTTTGGCTCGACTTTGCCAGCGGACAAGGACGCTTGCCCTCACCCTGTTGTAGGGCTGCCGGGAGGCAGGACTCTGCCAGGAAGCTCCAGGCCACTCCTGCCCGCGCTCCCCGCCCATCTCCACTGGTCGGCCGGCCTCTCTGTTTCTCAGAGAAGGAACTTCTGTCCCTGGACACGCGGCAGCCACCTCTGAGCGCTGCTGGACGGCCAGGTGAGCACACCCCCAGGGGTGCCTTGGAGGAGGGTAGGCATTTGTGACGGGGTCACCTGGTGCCCAGTGGAAAGGCCAGGTCTCTGAGCCTGTTCTGGAGTGTGGGGACCCTCTGCTGGAGGAGGGGTGGAAAACGGGCCCGAGGGAGGAGCCAGGGCATGAGTGTGCCCACTCTGAGCACCTGCGGTGTGCTCCTGACCCATTCATCCCTGGACCGTTCACTGCAGTAACCGGAGCTCCGTCAGGTGCTGGGGAGCCCCGGGGAGAAGCAGTGGGGCCGGGGAAGGGCTGAGAACAAGACCTTGCTGCAGGAGATTGGATCTTTGTGCAGCTGCCTAGGGATGGGTGGGGCCAGCACCCTAAAGAACCCTCACTTTGGGGAATGGCTACCCAGGATAACCTGGTGCCTGGGCAAGACAGACTGGAGGGGTGGGCAATGAGGAGGAAGCGCTCAGAGTTGGCAGCCTCCAGACCACACCCAAAATCTGGGACCTTTTTCCTCTTCCTCCTATCCCCACCCTGCAGCGGGGGACTGGTGGAGCTGTCAGCCTGGGGGCCCTGGGGCTTAGCTGGGGAGGAGTCAGTCTGCTTCTAGCAGGGGAATGAATGAATGGGCTCCCTGTGGGTGGCCCTGCAGGGCTACGGGAGGGGTGCACGCTAGGCTGCCTTGAAGAGCCTGCGCCTGGGGACCCTGTTGCACCAGCCAGTGGGGGCAGGGGAGTTGGACTCTGGTCTTAGGAGGCCCCGGAAGGTGGTTGCTGTGGAAACAGTGAGTCCCCTCCCTTCACCGGAGCAGCCTGGCCCCTGTCACTAGCCGTGGACACCGCAGTCTGGGGCTGCTCCCTGTGGGGCCGTGAGCTCCCTTCCTTTTCAGCTTTCTTGTGTTTCTCTTCCAAGGAGGAAAGCAAGGTGCAGGGATGAGGTGGGAGGAAGCGGTGGGGAGGGGGAGGGGCCGTTTCTGGAAGGCTCTCCCATTATCCCCGCTCATCCTGCCTTAGTGCTGCTTCGTGACCCCCCAGCCATCCCCACTTGGGGAGGAAGCTCTGGCTTCCTTCTCCGGGAAATGGGGGTGGGGTGGGGGGAGGGAGGAACAGCGGGAGGTTGCTGCGAGGGCCCTGGTGGCTGCTTTAGCCCCCTGGGACCCAGTGTGGCTCCTGGTGCCTTAGCGATCCTTAGTGCAGTTAGCACTGTGACCACCACTACTGTGGTAGAAGCCAGAGGGGTGTGCAGACCGAGAGGGACGGCTTGAGGCTCTGAGCCCACTCCCCTTCCAGTCTGCGTTCCCAACAGCTCCCAGTCTCTTCAGTCCTGAGGGTACACAGAGGCTAGGAGGGAGAGTTGTGGGTGGGTGGATGGGTGGATGGGGTGGGCCAATCACGCGTGCCGGCCTAGGGTCCAGAGTCAGTGTGGTTGGAGAGCCCAGGACAGGGCTCCAAGCCGTGAGGCTGTCAGGGGCAGGTGCGCCAGGGGGAGGCGCTGTTGAGCAGGAGGGCGTCCAGGTGGGGCTGATGCGGAGGTCCCTTGAGGGCAGGAACAGAAGGCAGAGGCTGGAATTAGTCGGGTGTAGGGGAGGGTGCTGGAAAGGAGAGGGGCTTGAAGAGCGGAATAGGAGGGGCACAGGTGGATTCTGGAGGCCTCAGGAGGAAGGCACATTTCTCCTGGAGGCTGCTGGGAAGTGTGTCTGTGGCCCCTGCCCTGGGACTGGATGAGGAGGCAGTGGCACCATTGCCCTGCCTCCAGCCTTGGTCCAGCCTCACTGTAGGCCACCACCTTTGTTTCTCTCCCTCCCTCCTTCCCTCCTTCCCCTGTTCCTCCTCTCCCTCCTTCCTTTCCTCCTCTTCTTCCCTCTCTTCCTCCTCCCACTCCCTCCTTCCCTTCCTCCTCCTCTCCCTCCCTCCCTTCCTCTCCCCTCCCTTCTTCCCTTTCTCCTCCTCTTCTCTCTCTCCCTCCCTCCTTCCCTTCCTCTTCCCTCCCTCCTTCCCTTCCTCTTCCCTCCCTCCTTCCCTTCCTCCTCCTCTCCCTCCCTCTCTCTGTTCCTCTCCCCTCCCTCCTTCCCTCTCTCCCTCCCTCCATCTCCTTCTCTTGTTCTGCTTCTGCCGCTAACTCTGATTACTCCGGGAGCATCCTGTGGTCCTGTGAGCTCCCCGCAGTTCTGTCTGGCAGAAGGAAGGAATAAACAAACACATCAGGACACTGCCTTATCATCTGCAAGTGCTTGCCACATGAGCTCACGCCATCCTCCTACTCATCTGAAAGACATCCCCCCACCCTTTTATTAGCTCTCAAAAAGAATTCAGAGTTCATACAAAACTACATGGTTTGTAGGAGAAAGTCAAAGATATAGAAATATAGAAAATGGGATTCAAGGCAACTGGCGTTCTTGTTGTACCTTCCGCCCCCTCCGTTTGTCACGTCTTTTAGCTGTGGCCCAGGAGAATGGTTTGGGAGTGTGTCCTTCCAGACCTGCCCGGACTGAGACAGCGGTCATGAGGCCACGTGCCTACTGAGCACCGGGAGCGCAGCCGGTCCCCGTGGGATGTGCCACACATGGGAAAATTCAAAGGCTTGGGATAATTATGAGAATGCAAACTATGTCGTCAGTAAGTTGATGAAATAATGACATTTTGAATATGTTGCACCAAATAAAACATATGGGTAATTTCTCCTGTTTCTTTTTACCCTTTAAGGTGGCCACTAGAAAATTTAAAATGACATATATAGCTTGCATTATACTTTAACTGAATACCAGATCTCTGCATATGTATGCCCATAAATATGTAGCAATAAAGTTTTTTTTTTTTTATATTAATGAGACGAGAGGAAACCTATCTCTCTGTGACTTGCTTTTTCCACTCATAGACTTTTCTTTTTTTAAAAAAATGTTTGTTTATTTGAAAGGCAGTGTGACAGGGAGAGAGGGAGAGAGAGAGATAGAGAGAGCGAGCGAGCTAGTGAGTGAGCAAGCTCTTCCATCTACTGGTTCACTCCCCAAATGGCCACAATATCTGGAGGAATCCAGGAGCCTGGAGCTTCTTCTGGGGCTCCCTCATGGGTGCAGGAGCCCAAGGACTTGGGCCATCATCCACTGCTTTTCCAGGCCATCAGCAGGGAGCTGGATTGGAAGTGGAGCAGCCGGGACTTGAACCGGCGCCCAGGTGGGATGGCGGTGCTGGTGGTGGCCCCTCTCAGACTTCTCTGTGTCATACTCATAGCAGAGGATAGCTGTTTGCTAGATGAGGAGACCGAGGTACATTAAGCGGTATGACGAGCTTCGCCAGCCACATGGGGACCACGTGGCACTTACGTTCACACCCTCCACGTCCAAACCCGAGCTCTTTCTGCATGCGAGGAGCTTTCCGTGATGTGCATGGTCATGGGGGGCCATAGTCATTGCACGTGTGGAAGAATTGCTCTGAGCGGGCCATGCAGCGTGCGCTGGAAGGAAGGTGCTCCCTTGTGGCAGCCACATGGAAGCCAAGGCTTTATTTCGCTTGTGTTAGTTTTGTCGCTTGTGTTAGTTTTGATTGGCCATCAGTTTTGATTAGCACATAACTCTACATAGTTGTACGGTACAATGCTATATTTTTATACATGCAGACACGGTGCCATGATCAAATGGGAGTAATCACCATGTTCATCACCTTGAATGTTTGTCATTTCCTTTCCTCTACCTGTTTTAAAACATGCATTGCTGTATATACCTGTTGTGAGCAGAACACCAGACCTGTTCCTGCTAACTGTGACATGGCACCCCTTGTCTAACTCTCCCCGTGTCCTTGCCCCCCACTCCTCAACTGCCAGTAACCACTATTCCCCTCTGCACTTCTATGAGAGACACTTCTTAGAACCTCTTTATGAGTGAGATTCTGTGGGGTATGTCCCTCTGTGCCTGCCTTATTTCACCTAACGTGACGTCTCCTAGGATTTTATGCTAGTCTGTCGTGTACATATACCACGTCTCATTCTTCCGTTGCTGGATACAGGGCTTGATTCCATAGCGTGGCTGCTGTGACAGTGCTGTGATAAACACAGAATGCAGATGTCTCCTCAACAGGCTGATTTCATTTCTTTTGAATATGTATCTAGTAGTAGGATTGCTAGATCAAAAGGGAGCTCTATTTTTAATTTTTGCTGGGATGTTAAATAATTTTATGCCAACAATTTTGGCAATTGATGTGAATTGCACATCTTTCTTAAAAAACAAATAGAGAAAACTGACATGGGAAGAATGGCAATTTTTTGAATAGCTCCATATTTTTTAAGAAATTAAGTTCATTTAAAAATCTTCCCCTAGAGATAACCAAAGGCCTAAAGAGTTTCACTGGTGAATTCTACCAACCATTTAAAGAAGAACTAATAGCACAATAATATATGCCTTCAGAAAACAGAGCAAGATCAGACATTCCTCAACTCATTTTAAGAAACCAATATAACCCTTATATAAAAATCTAATGTGTATAAGAAAAAAATTATACAACTATAGTTCTAAATAGTACAGGTGAAGACTCTTAACTAAGTATATAGCAAATCAAGTCTAGAAAAAAGTAAAAATAATATGTGGATTACTAGATTTTTCTTTTCTTTTGTGAGTCTGCTCTGTTGAGTTTTGTACATTTGTGTGTTCTCATGATGGCAGTTGTCATCAATTCAATTCATTTTTAAGATTTATTTATTTATTTGAAAGGCAGAGTTACAGAGGGGTGGAGGCAGAGAGAGAGGTCTTCTATCCATTGGTTTACTACCCACATGGCTGCCAGAGCTGGGCCAATCTGAAGCCAGGAGCCAGGAGCTTCTTCCGGGTCTCCCATGTGGGTGCAGGGACCAAGGACTTGGGCCATCTTCTACTGCTTTCCCAGGCCATAGCAGAAAGCTGGGCTGGCAGTGGAGCAGCCGGGACTCGAACCAGCACCCATATGAGATACCAGCACTGCAGGCGGTGGCTTTACCTGCTCCATCACAGCAGCGACCCCTCAATTCACTTCTAATGTAGGATTCCCATAAGCATTTCTTGTAGTGCCAATCTGATGGTGATGAATTCCTTTAATTTTTGCTTCATATGGAAATAACTTACTTTTTTCTCGATTTTTTTTTTATGGATAGCTTTGCTGGGTATAGAATTCCCAGCTGGCTTTTTTTTTTTTTTCTTTCAGAACTTGAATATTTCATCCTATTCTCTCTTGGCATGTAAGGGTATATCTTTAATTTATTTATTTACTTATTTATGTTCATTTTCTATGAAAGGCAGAGAGATGGGGAGGGGAGACAGAGAGAAACAGAGATTTTCCATCTGGTGGTTCACTTCCTAAATGCCTGCAACAGCTGAGGCTGGGCCAGCCCAGTCAGTCTAGGGCCTCTACTTGGGTGGCAGGGACTCAAGTACTTGAGCTGAGTTTGCAACCTTGCAGGGTGTGTGTTAGCAGAAAGCTGGACCAGATGTGGAGGAAGTGGTAGCCAAACAGGTGCTATGTGATGTGTAAGTGTTTTAGGAGGTATCTTGGCTGCTGCACCAAGTTTTAGCAAAGTCTGCCATTAATCTAGTGGGGAGTCCCTTATAAGTGACTTTTTTCCTGAAGATTTTACAATTCTCTTTTTATTGATTGATTGGTTTACAATTTTACTATAATGTGCTCTGGGTATTTTTCAGTTGAATCTATTAGGGATTCTTTGGGCTTCCTGGGCCTTGGTTCTTTCCCAAGATTTAGAATGTTTTTGGCTATTATTTTATTGGATAGATTTTCTATTCTTTTCTTCTAAAATACTCATAATGTGAATGTTTGCTTCCTGGTGCCCAGTAAGTCTAGAAGGCTTTCTTTTTCCTTTTAAATTTTTTTCCATTGGACTGACCTGTTGTCTTTAAGCTCAGAAATTCTTCTGCCTGCTCAGTTTTGCTGTTGAGGATCTGAACTATATTTTAAATTTCATTTATTGAATTATTTAGCACCAAGATCTCTGATTTGTTCTTTTTTTGTGCTCTCTCTTTGCTAACTTTCTCATTCCTATCATTGATGTCATTGAATTATCTATGTCTTCCCTTGTATCTCATTAAGTTTCCTTGTAATCATTTTTTTGAATTCATTGTTGGACAATTCATTGATTTTCATTTCTTTGTGGTCTGTTGTTAGAGAGTCATTGTGTTCCTTTGGGGATGTCATGTTTCCTTGTTTTTTCACGCTTCTTGTGCCTCTAATGGTTTTCCTGCACCTGGTAGATCAGTTGCTTCTACTAGTTTTGTAGAGTGACCTACACAGTAAAAGATTTGCTGCTGACAGAGTGTCCTAGGGTGCTGGTTGGGTGTGCTGTGCTGGCTTTGGGTTTAGGTGGGCACTTCACTGTGTGTGTGTAGTTCCTTTACCTTTCCCTGTGACGTCAAGTCCCTCTTGGTTCAGGGTTGATATTGAGAGAGATGGAACAGCAGACACTGTGTGCTTACTTCTGTTGTTTGTGAGGCCATAGTGTTTGTCCCTGCTTGGCACCATCTAGTGCTGGGCTCACATATTCTTCCACTATGCTTTGCTGATGGAGACAGGATGGGAACACCTTGCCCACCTGGTTAATGTGATTCCAGAGGCTCAGTGAGCAGGTACTGACTTGGGGTCACGATTGTTGGGTTTTGTCCACCACTAGGTTTCACCATAGCAGGCCTGGTACTGGGCCTGGTACTAAGGCTGGCCTTCATCCTCTCATTCCCCCAAGCAGGAGACACATTGTCCAAGTTGTGTGGCTTATAATTGGCGAGCAGGGCGATGCAGACCACTCCTTTAATCACACTAAACTACGGCCTCTCACCTGGCTTCCTCACCTCTTGTAAAGGTGGCTTGGTGTGTGAGTAGCTGTTCAAATTGGTGTCTCTGTGGAGCGACTGTCAGTGGGGGATCCTACTCAGTGGCCATCTTTGGAATTCAAGCCTTGACCTCCACGACTTACCATGGTTTAACCCAGCCCTGACCCTTTCCTTCCCACAGGACACTGGCCTTGGCTGGCACAGGGGTGTGGGAGAGCCGGCAGCACTGAGTGACCAGGCGGATGTGTGCTCAGGAAACTTCCTTCCAACCCTCCCCATTCCTACTGCTGGTGGGGGTCCCGGTGGCCAGTGTCCTCCTTCTGGTCCAGTGCCTTCGGTGGCACTGTCCTCGATGGCTGGTGGGGGCCTGCTGGAAGCCAGATGCCCAAGAGGAGCCAGGATCTCAGCCTATCCCCCTGCCAGCAGATGAGGCCCCCAGGCATTGCCCACCAACTACTCTGCCGGAGATGGCCGCCTTCTACCAGGAACTGCACACACCTACCCAAGGCCAGACCGTCGTGCGCCAGCTGATGCACAAACTGCTGGTGTTTTCTGCTCGAGAGGTGGATCACCGCGGCGGCTGCCTGATGCTCCAGGATACCGGCATCTCCCTGCTCATCCCTCCAGGTAACCGTTCCCAGAGGACGGGTGTTCGGACTGGGCATTAGGGCACCACACCACTCACTCACAAGCATCCACATTGGTTTGAAAATTGTTTCTATAGTTTATCAACCTCAAAGATGGGCATAGTGTCTATCTTTTAGGACAGCTTCCAGGCAGGTGAGAGCCAAGTGCTTGTTCTAATGAATCACTATGGTGACAGGTCTGATACAGATGGAAGAGCACTGTTCACAGGTTCATACCCTGTAGGGCTGGCAGTAGCCCTGGATGGAGGGGCGGTGGCTTGCTTAGGATTATACCATACAGTGCCCACTGTGGTCTCACTCTTACCCCAGGCTGCTGCCCTGCTGGGCACCCTCTCCTGGCTCCCTGCTCCACCTCGTCTCTCCATTCTGGCCTGGTCTCTTTCCGAGGCAGGGGTGTCTTGCCTGCCAGACCCATCTCAGCTCCCCATCTCCACAGGTGCTGTGGCCGTGGGCCGCCAGGAGCGGGTGTCCTTGGTCCTGGTGTGGGACCTGTCGGACGCCCCGTCGCTGTCCCAGAGCCAGGGGCTAGTGAGCCCTGTGGTGGCCTGTGGCCCCCACGGGGCCTCCTTCCTGAAGCCGTGCCTGCTCACGTTCAAACACTGTGCCCAGCAGCCCGGCCATGCCCGTGCCTACAGCAGCAACACCACCCTGCTCGATGCCAAGGCCTGGAAGCCGCTGGGCCGGCCGGGGGCCTACACCTCCCGGGACGAGTGTCGCATCCATCTGTCCCACTTCAGGTAAGCAGGTGCCCATTGGCTTGTCCCCTCCTCCTTCTGTTGGGAACTGCTTCCTGATCGGTCCAACACGGCCTGCAAATCCCTTGTCCCAGGGTCTCTCTCCAGACCCTCTGTCCCCACATTCGCGGCAGCTTGTCCCATTTAGCCCCGTGCAGGATGGTGTGTCTCACGGCTGTCTGTCTCTGCCTGTCTGGAAGTGTCTGACGCAGCCCCATTCCCACCTCTGTCTCTGATACGGTCCCCTCTCTTCTGTGCTGATGTCACAGCTGTCCCCGAACTCTGCAGAGCCAACCCCACCCCCACAGTCCTCTGCCTCCCAATCTCCTTGCCACCCACTGACTGGAATAGGGCCCTACGTGGTGCCCTCCACCCCCAGCTGAGCCCACCTTCCCTCTGTCCCTTGCCCCACAACACCTGCTGGCTCTCCTCCCCACTCAAGGACGGTCACTGTGATGTGCTCACTCTCATTCCCCCGGCCGCACCTCTCCCAAGTTCCTCCCTATGTGCACCTTCCCCCACCCCCAGAAGTGCTCTCCTCTCCTCCCTGGGAGGCTCCCACAGAGTCCCCTCACCAGTGGGAGCCTTGTAGTAGGTGTGCTGGGGTCTTAGCATCCCCCGGCAACCCTACACACCTCTCCCCGCCTCCGTTCTCCCTCCACAGCCTCTACACCTGCGTACTGGAGGCACCCATAGGGCAGGCTGCCCACAAGTGGCTGCAGCTGGCTATCTTCTGCTCGCCGCTGGCACCAGGGCAGACACACCTGCAGCTGCGGGTCTACTTCCTCAACAACACGCCCTGTGCCCTGCAGTGGGCCGTGACCAACGAGCAGCCTCATGGTGGGCGCCTGCGTGGGCCCTGCCAGCTCTTCGACTTCACCGGGGCCAGGGGTGACCAGTGCCTGAAGCTCAAGTACATCTCCGAGGGTGAGGGAGGGGGGCCAGGACTGTGGAGAGCCCCACTGGGAGGAGGGATCAGGTCCTCCCGCCGGGCCAGGAATCCCAAGGTTCTCCCCTAGACTCAAGGAGGCCTCTTGATTTTGCCCACTTCCCCCCCTCTGCTGCCCACTTGGCCCTTGCCATCCTGCCCCAGGATAGGGTGATGCCAGACAGGGGTGGGGAGGACAGGAAGTAGGGGTATCCCAGTCTTCTCTGTTGGGGTCCTCTTTGTTTGTGGGTTGGGCTGCTGCGATTGTCCATGGAGCCCCTGTGTGTCTGTGGTTGTGGACAGGGCACATGTGTGTGGCTGCTTCAGGGGTGGAGGGGGGCTGCGAGAGTCAGGGGTGTGTGGTGTAGGAGCAAGGCCACTCTCGAGGGTCGCACCGAGGCTCTGGAGAGTCCCACCCACTCCAAGCCCTCCTGCCTGGCCCCTGAGTCCCTCGCTCTCTGCCCCCTCCCCAGGTTGGGAGAATGTTGACGAGAGCAGCTGCCAGCTGGTCCCCCATCTCCACATCTGGCACGGAAAGTGCCCCTTCCGCTCCTTCTGCTTCCGGAGAAAAGCAGGTAGCCCAGGGGCTGCCCTCTCCCCTCCCCTCCCATCCCAGTGAGTTGGAGGCTCTGCGGCCCCCGTTCTCGCCACGCCACAGGCCCTCTGCTAAAGGCCAGGGGCCCCGGTGGTTCCTGGCAGAGAGGAAGCCGGAGGGTCCTGCCCCAGCTTCTGCTCAGTCCCAAAGTCTTCCTGTGGAGTCCCTCTGATTCCCCAGGCTCCCCTGTACCTGCTGTGTTCCAACCTTCTCTTGGCAGCCAATGAGAGTGAGGATTGCTCAGCATTAACCAATGAGATCATCGTCACCATGCACACCTTCCAAGATGTGAGTCGGTGCTGGAAGGACCTGGGGTGGGGATGGGGGGCCTGGGCCCATGAAGTAAGGTCTTGATCACATAACCAAACAGGCAAAGCCCCCTCTGAGGGGCTTAGGTTACCCTCTCTCCCCGACTCTTTCTTGTCTACCCATGCATGAATTCAGCAGGAGATTAAAAGAACCAAACCCTAGAATACTCCCTTCTCCCAGCGCAGGGGGACTGGGGCATGGGGGGACGTGGTGTCTTTCTAGGCTGATGGCCTGCGTCTGAGGTCATGTTTTCTATCGTTGGCAGGATGGGCGTTAGCTACTTCCCTGCACCTGTCACCCCAAAGCTAGGGTGCAGTCAGGGTGAGAGTCTTTGGGGGCCCATGGAGACTTCTTCACCTAACTCCCACCCCCCACCTATTCATTGGCACCTTGCTGCAGGGAGGGGAGTCAGGGAATGTGACAGGTGGCTTCCGCTACTGGCTGCCCTCCCCCTGCTTCACGTCCCCGCCCAGGCCTCCTCCTGGTGGCTTAGGATGCACTGGTTGGCTTCATGTCCCTGTTCCCAAAGAGCTCAGTGGGCAAATTTAAGGCTGAAGGTGGGGTCCTGGTGCCAGGGCAGCAGAAGGTGGAGGGTTGTAGCTCCCAGTATAGTGTGTCTGGGAGACAGGATGCAGAGGAGACACGAGGAGTGGAGGGAGGCCCCAGCTTCTTCCCCGGGGGCTGTCTTGGGACCCCCTCAATGTGCTCCCTGCCCCTCTGTTGACTTAGGGCTTGGAGACCAAGTACATGGAGATCCTCAGGTTCCAGGTGTCTGAGGAGGAATCCTGGGCAGCACCACCCCCTGTCTCCCAGTCGCCCCCATGCAATAGGTGAGGTGGAGGTTGCTTGGGCAGCTGCCTGGGGGATGTTTGGCACTTGCCATGGGTGGGGGGGGGGAGGCCCCTGCTGGGTCTCTGAGTCCTGAAGAGAGCACCCTTTCTCCGCTGCAGGCTGCCCCCAGAGCTCTTTGAGCAGCTGCAGATGTTGCTGGAGCCCAACAGCATCACGGGCAACGACTGGCGCCGCCTGGCCTCCCACCTGGGGCTCTGTGGCATGAAAATCCGGTAGGGAGAGGGGCAAGGGCTGAGGGGCTGGTGGGGCCAAGGGTCCTCAGGACACCGTGGGCACTGGGCCACAGACAAGGGCGTGACTTAAAAGTTGGGGAGCCCTATCCTCCTTGCTGTGTATCCCTGCGTCCCCAGTATCTAGAGAGATGCCTGGCGCCTGACAGGTGCTCCATCAATGCTTAACTTAAATCCGTGGAATGGTGGAAGGCATCGGGTCCATGGTGAGTGCTTGCCAGGCAGGGGCCCGGGGAGCAAAATGGCAGATGATAGGGTACTGTGTTTAAGGATATAGCTGGGTGCCTGGCACACACCAATTCAACAAATGTTAGCAATCATAGTGGCAATGGAGAGAGAGAGAGAGAGAAAGCGCTTCCATCTACTGGTTCACTCCCCCAGTGCCGGCAACAGTTGGGGCTGGACCAAGCCAAAGCTGAGAGCTGGGAACTGAACTGAGTATCGCACTTAAGCAGCAGGGACCCAAGCACTTGAGCCGTCACCTGCTCTCTCTCTCAGGGTGCCCATTAGCAGGAAGCTGGAATCAGGAGTGAGCCAGGACTCACACCTAGGCACTCTGGTGTGGAATGCAGGCATCCTAACTGCTAGGCTAAGCATCTGGCCCTGGAGACGGACTCTGAACTGAGTGCCCAGCGCCCAGTGAGTGCAGAGGTCAGGGAAGCCTCATCTAGGAGGTGGGGCTCGCGCTGGACCTGAGAACATTGAACCGGTATTCTCGGAAACTGAACACTGGGATGCGAGATGAGTGAGACGCTGTCCCAGCTCCCAGGAACTCCCACTCCAGTAAGGGGTTCACAGGACTTCAAAAGGGGACCAAGTCTCCGGCCTCGGGCCACCCCAGCCCCTGGGAAGCAGGCCAGAGCAGCCCAAGGGCAAGAGATGTGGGGAGGGAGCTGTGGGTCTTGCTGGGGCGCCCGGGGTGGGGGAGGAGGAGCCCGCTCTCCTCCTCTCTCCTCCTCTGTCCTCCTCTGTCCACCGCCCGGGCCAGGTTCCTGTCCTGCCAGCGCAGCCCCGCCGCGGCCATCCTGGAGCTGTTCGAGGAGCAGAACGGCAGCCTGCAGGAGCTGCACTACCTCATGACGGTCATGGAGCGGCTGGACTGCGCCTCTGCCATCCAGAACTACCTGAGCGAATCGCGAGGCAGCAGCCCAGCCTCGGCCCGCGGGGGCGCCCAGGACAACCAGGGCCTGGAGCTGGACGAGAAGCTCTGAGCGGCCCCCGCGCGGGCACGGGGAGGCCGGGGGCGTGCCCCTGTGCCCAGGGAGCCCCCAGCTGCGGTTGGCTCCAGGCTGCATCCGCCCACACTCCGCAGGATTCCCACGGAAGGTGCCTGGAGAGGCCAGAGCGCCCCTCGGGTGCAGGGTGCTCCTGGCCGGCAGGGGGCGCGGGAGCCCAGTAGATGGCCAGGGCTGCCCCTGCCTCCCTGCTGCAGCTTCTCAAAGCCACGGGCCCGCGCCAGGCCACCAGTACTCAGGTTCACTAGCCCGGGCAGACTGGAATATGTGAGAGGAGGTGGGGCCTCCCCACTTAGCAGGGGTCAGCCCGCGCCCCTGTGAGCCCAGGCGGCCCCTCCAGCAGCACTGCCCTGTGGATCAGGGATTTGGCCTTGCCCAGGAGTTCAGAGAGACTTGGTGGGGCTGGGGGAGGGGAGACTGCATAGATGGAAGCCAGGAGTGAGTATGAGGCCCCGGGGCTTAGGAGCCCAGCCTGCTGGGTGTGAGGGGTAGGGAGAGTTTAAGGCCAGGTCTAGAGGCAGGTGCACTTGGCAGCGGGCCTCTGTCTACCTCCGCCCCTGCCGGTCCCCTTGTCAAAGCCGCGAAGCAACCCCAAGGGTGGTTCTCGCCCAGCCTTTTTATCTGCGGCTCTCTGACTTCGTTTTTCTGGAAGTGTCTCTGGCTCCATCTTTGAAACTGTGTCACTCTGTTCTTCCTTGACTTAGCATCTTTGTGGCTGTGCCTGGTGGCCGTGCCCTGGCTCTGTGGGTTCCCTTATGTCTCAGAAAACCCCCACTTCTCCTAGGGGCAAGTGCTCAAACCAAGGTCAGGTTTCAAAGGCTGTGAAAAGAGCTGGATGGGTGGGGACTGCTAACCCACGAGATACTGTTTGGAGTCCAGAAATAAAGGCTCAGCTCAAAGAACACCCCTCTCGGTCAACACTGACTCAGCGCTGCTGTGTGTTAGTGTGTAGAGAGGACGTGAACAGCCTTGGACTTCGGAAACACAGCCGCGGCTCCGAGTCGATTCTCCCAATGCCTTTGTTGGCAAACAGGTGTGGTTCGCTTGTTGACAGGCAGGTGATCTCTTGGGCAAGTTTGCTTCTGTATTTAATGAAAAAAGAATTAGCTTTTTCCTATGACAAATATTATATAATAAAGTATGAAAACGACCTTTCGATATTTGGCTTGGATTGGTAAATTTGGGATGAATATGAGTGGCTGTGTTTGGTAACCGTACCAGTGAGGATGGGTTTGTAGCCTGTGCTTCCAGCTTGAAAACAGGTGGGGGCGGTGTTGTGGTGCAGCGATTAAGCTGCTGCCTGTGATGCTGGCATCCCATATTGGAGCATCAGTTTCAGGCCAGGCTGCTCCGCTTCCGGTCCAGCTTCCTGCTAATGCACCGGGGAAGGCAGCTGAGAATGACCCAAGTAACCACGTGGGAGACCCGGATGGAGTTCTGGACTCCTGGTGTCAGCCTGGCTCAGCCCCGACTGTCGCAGCCATTTGGGGGAGTGAACCAGCGATGGAAGATTTCTTTCTCCATTTCTCCCTTTCTCCCTCTCTGTCACTCTGCTTTTTGAGTAAACAAAATAAATCTTTTTTTTAAAAATCGGGTGCAGCAGGGGCTGACGCTGTGGCATAGTGGATAAAACTGTTGCCTGCAGTGCCGGCATCCCATATGAGAGCCGGGTTGAGTCCTGGCTGCTCCACTTCCAATCCAGCTCTCTGCTATGGCCTGGGAAAGCAGTAGAAGATGGCCCAAGTGCTTGGGCCCCTGCACCCACATGGGAGACCTGGAAGAAGCTCCTGGCTCCTGGCTTCAGATCGGCGCAGCTCCAACCATTGCGGCCAATTAGGGAGTGAACCAGCAGATGGAAGACCTCTCTCTCTGTCTCTCTGCTTCTGCCTCTGCCTCTCTGTAACTCTGCCCTTCAAATAAAATAAATAAATCTTTAAAAAACAAAATTGGGTTCAGCGTGGTACATCAGGGAGGTTTGTTTGCACTTCCGGGTCAGGCTCTCTGCTCCCTTTTCCTCTGTGGCCCACCCCTTGGTCCACCCTTCTGATTGGTTCTTCCCAGGCCACTACTGGGGCAGCCATTGGAAGCCACTGCCTTGGCACTTTTCCGGTTCCCTTGGCTCTGGATGGGCCTGCGAGAGTACACACTTTATCTTGGTGTCCGCTTACTTTCCCAGGGGCCCACGGGCTCGTCCCAGCCAGTCAGAGGCATAATTGTGCCTCCCCTCCCCAAAGGACGAGTCATTTTGAGGGTTTTGGCCCCTTTGGAGCTGTGAATAGAAACCGCAGGGGCCCAGTGAGGGGTTAGAATGCTTTTGGGCCCCAACTCCGATTTCTCAGAATGAGTTCTCAGTGTTGGCAGAAAGGGGCCTGGGAAATAGGGAGGTATAGGCTGCGTGATTCGGGGGGCGGGGCTTCCTTTCTCGAGTCAAACCCGATTGGTGTGTATCTGCTGGCATGTGCCGCTGGGTGCTGGGCAACTTTGCGCTCGCCACGGCTCTCACGCTAACGAGAACAGCGTCAGTCTCTTCATCCTTGGCTGGAGATATTCACAGGAGAGGGGCTCAGCCTCCTGGGCGGGGGTGGGGGGGGGCGTCTCTGAGAGCACTTCCTTCCCCCGCCCCAGCTCCACGGACCTGTGACGTGGGTGACCACGTGGGGGACCACTGGGGACACTTGGCTTTCTTTTTGTATTTCCATTACATAGAGGAACTGATCACTGCTTATGGCCTCCCCTTCGGCCCTTTCCCTGATAGGCTGCCTGCCTGGTTCCTACAAAACAGCGCATCTGTGACTTCTGCTCCTCTGCCTGTGTAGGGTCCCTTGTCCAAACTCCCGCCTGTTGGGTTTTGAGTCTGTTGGGTGTGGTGAGAGGAATGACAGGGTACGGCTGGGCCTGCGCCTGGAGGGTTAGAGCCTCCTGGGCAGGGAGGTCACGGGTCCTTGGCATCCTTGCACTGAGCAGCAGTGTTCACACTAACGTCCAGCTTTTGCTGTCCAACAGAAATACGACAAAAGCTGCACATAGAATTTTACTTTGCCTAGTAGCCTGCTGATGGCCTGGGAAAAGTGGAAGATGCCCCAAGTGCTTGGCCCCCTGCCGCCCACCTGGGAGACCTGGTTGGAGCTCCAGGTCCCTGGCTTTGGCCTGGCCTAGTGCTGACCATTGCAGCCATCTGGGGAGTGAACCAGCAGATGAAAGATCTCTCTCTCTTTCTCTGTAGCTCTTTCAAATAAATAAATAAATATTGTTTAAAAAGAAAAGAAACAGTTGAGGTCAATTTTCTTTTCAAGAGGTGGACAAAGAGAGAGAAGGAGATTTCCCATCTGTTGGGTTTCTCTCAAGATATCAACAATGGCCAGAACTGGGGCCATGGTGAAGTCAGGTCTCCCCTGTGGGTGGCAGGGACCCAACTACTTGAGCCATCACCTGCTGGATTGTCAGGAAGGTGGAATCAGGTGTGGAGCCGGGACTCAAACCCAGGCATTCTGATATGGGGTGAGGGCATCCCAGCTGGTGCCAACCTCTAGGCCAGATGCCTGCTCCATATACCAATGTCGATTTTAATCATATATTCTGTTAAATCTAATCTATCCAGGATGTTGCCACTTCCACATGTAATCAATGTGAAATTTGTGGTGTGTTGTAAGTTCTTTTTTCATATGATTTGGAGTCTGGTGTGTACTTACCATTGCAGCACATCTCAAATTGAATGTTAACTTTTTATTGGAAATATTTGATCTGTAATTGGATTTCATAAAATTTACACATGAAAAATTACATTTGCATGCACACAAGTTAAATAAACTAAAGGTAATCCAAAAGTGGAATTAGGTATAAATTGTAAAATTTGAGTTCATGGGGGCTGGTGCTGTGGCAGGTTAAGCTTCTGCCTGCAGCGCCAGCATCCCACATGGGCACTAGTTTGAGTCTCGGCTGCTCCTCTTCGGATCCAGCTCTCTGCTATGGCCTGGGAAAACAGTAGAAGATGGCCCAGCTCTGGCTGTTTTGGCCATTTGGGGAGTGAACCAGCGGATGGAAGACCTCTCTCTCTGTCTCTCCCTCTCTCTGTCTGTAACTCTACCTCTCAAATAAATAAATAACATCTTAAAAAAATTAAGTTCATTAAAATGAAATAAAAATTTCGCTCCTCAGTTGCATTAGCCATAGTTAAGTGTTTGGCCGCTACGTGCAGCTGGTGCGTATTATTAATGGACAGGCAAGGCCTGGATTAGGGCTCCAGTGGAGTATAACTTGGTAGTGTAGTTGACCATTCATTCATTCATTCATTCATTTCTTAGATGTTTGCAGGTGCTAAGCCCTGCACGAATTGCTGGTGATAAGAATTCAATGAAGAGCTTTCTTGTTCTGACACCACTCCTGGGGTGGTGGGAGTCGGGGGAAGGGCACCTTCCTTCCATGCTGCTTTGCACCTGACTCCAGAAGGGAGTTAGGGCTGAGGGCCACGCTGACACTCTCTGTTACAGAGATGGCGCTCATGACAGCCTGGTGTGGATGCCGTGGATTCGGCGTCAGGTGTTCTGGCTTATCTAGCTCACCAGGTGGTTGTTGGTTGCTGACAACAGGATCCATCCTGGCTGGTTGAGGTGGGTGGGGTTTACTAAAGGATGCTGGAGGATGAATAATCATTGATTTTTTTAAAAAAAATATTTTATTTACTTGAGAGGCAGAATTACAGACAGTGAGAGGGAGAGACAGAGAGAAAGGTCTTCCTTCCGTTGGATCACTCCTGAAATGGCCGCAATGGTTGGAGCTATGCCGATCCGAAGCCAGGAGCCAGGAGCTCTGCTGCGGGGTCATCTCTAGGGGGAGAGACTGGTGTTGCTGTGGCTGCCTGGTTCTGTAAACCAGACAGCAGGAACTTGGCCCTACCATAGGCATTGCCACCACTGCCCTCCGTGCCGCTCCTGAGTCGGGAACCCAGAAAGTGTGCCTCTGGAAGCTGATGCCCCTGCTGCCCTCCATGCCCACAGAAGTAAGCGCAAACTCTGGGCACTGCCTGCCTCTTCACGGCACTCACTTCTGAGTTGAATTTCAAGTGGGGAAACAGGTTGTTGGACCCTGTGCCTGAATCCTAGCTGCAAAGATGTCTGGAAATGGAAATGCTCGCCTCAGTATTGAGGAGGTGAGATTTACCATCCGCAAATATTCCCAAGTATGGATTAACTGCTCAAAAGTAGAGGTGGGAGGGACGGTGTTGTGGTGCAGTGGGTTAAGCCACTGGCTGAGATGCTGGTATCCCGTATGAATGCCAGTTTGAGTCCTAACTGCTCCACTTCTGATTCAGCTCCCTGCTAATGCAAAGTGATGAAAGATGGCCCAGGTACTTGGAACCCCGCAACCCACATGGGAGACATGGATGGAGTTCCTGGCTCCTGATCAGCCCAGCTCCAGCTGTTGTAGCCATATGGGGAGTGACCCAGTAGATGGAAGATTCTCTCTCTCTCTCTCCCCTTCCCTCTCCCTCTCCCTCTCCCTCTCCTGGTCCCTTTGCCTTTTGAAAAAGTTGACAAGAAGCCTGAATATGATAAATGTGCCCCACAGCCATGCTGGAGGGAACGCTGCAGCTTCAGTGAGCAAATTCTTTTCACAAGAAGAATCACGCCTGCAGAAGGAGCCTGTGCACTGGCATAATCTCAACAAAGCCGGACGGCACACATCCTGGGGACGGCTCTCATGCCGGCAGACCCAATGGTGATTCTGTGGTCTAGGATCGGTCATTGACATGCTTCCCACGTGCTGTGGCCCGACGTTTGTGTCCCCCACAACCTCATATGTTGGAGTCTCAATGCCCAACGTAGGAGATGGAGGACTCTGGGGAAGCGATTAGGCGAGGAGAGCAGTGTTCTCACGAATGGGCCCCAGAGAGCCCCTTTGCTCTCGCCGCTGTGTGAGGACACGGCAGGAAGACACCAGCTATGACCCCATACCGGAAATGGAGCCTCCCAGACCCCATTTCTGTGGTACTTGGTGGCCTCTGACACTGGGAGTGACACGCTTCAGCTGTTACAAGCCACCCCACCCACCAAGGTGGCCTCCAGAACAGAGCGACAGGAGCGTCCAGCAAGAGCCCGCCCCCAGTGCTGGCTGGGTTTACTCAGCGGCTCCTGCAGCTTCCTGTGCCTTCCTG